AACCCCTTAGCCGCAAAACCTCTCAAAAAAAAAAAAAAAAAGTCTCTTCCTCAGCCTCCCCAGCCCCCTGTATATGGAAGAGGAATGGGTCTTGGGACTCAGTGGCCTCAGATGTGAGCTTCAAACGTCCCAATGTGAGGTGTTGGAGAACCGCTGGTATAGACTAACTACTGTCATTAACTTAACCACTATTACCATCACCACCACCCTCACCACCATTACCACCTCTCCCACTAACACCTCCGCCGGGACGTCAGCCCACACCACATCACTGCCATCGCCGTCCCATGCGCAACGTCACAACGCCACTGCCTTTGAGTACACGGAGGCGGGGCTGCCCAGGCCAGCCACTAGACCCTCTTCTAATACTCTGCGCCCAGACGTTCATCTTCATACCCAGCTGCTCATAATCAAAGAGACCAATCCAAGCCTGACGTATATTCCAGAACAGTCCCAGTTCATGCCTGCTGTCCCTGCTTCGTTACTAATAGCTCCCCTCTTTCACTCTAACCGTGCCTTGCTTTACGTGACAAAGACACCCTGGTCACCCTAGTTATGATCACATCCGGCTCTGATTGGGCCACCAAGGACCAGCAGCCTAAGGATGCTAACCCAGAGCAGAGCCTGGTGGGCATACTTTGGGGACAATCAGGGAGAGCGGAAGCTCCGCCCCCCATGTCATTCATAACTAATGATGTCCCCACCCCTCCAATCCTCCAGGAAACCACTGAGAAAAGACGAAAATGGCACCAGTGTGGCTGAGTACCCCATGAGTTCCTCTCAGAGCAACAAAGGGGTGGACGTGAACAACGCAGTGGTGTGAGTCTGCAGGCCCTGGACCCACTGGCCAGAGGGACACCTTGGTGGCACTAGTGGACATGGGAAAGCAGGTGGACACGAGCTGACACTGGGCTCGTCCAGGACTTCCTTGCCTTGCAGGCCTCCAGCCTCCCGAAGGAGAAACCATCCTCTTCCCAGGCTTGCCCTGGTGCAGCACATCGGCTGTCATACCTTCCTCCTCTTGTGTTTGATCGGCTCGTGTCCCCAGCTGCTGCCTAAAGCACGTGCTCTGACAAAGCAGGGGGCTCTGTCTGTCTGCCGGGCGGGGAGGCATCCCCCTTTAGCCAAAAGAAAGCTGATTCGGGGCCCACTCTGCTGCCTCAAACCTCTCCTCCTCCCAGGAGGCCTACCTGCTTCTCTGTAGATGTTCACGTTCCCAACAGAAGCCATCAGCACAGCCATGAGACAGACGTCCCCTTTCAAAGGTGCTTCCCACTCATCTGCCCATCACCCCGTCTGGAATAGTCTTCAGTCTGCAGGGCCTGCCTTCTTCCTCCTGTCCCCCAATGCCCCGACACCCCAAGCCCTTGGCTCCTGCCTGCCTGCCACAGAGAGCTGTGAGCCTGGCTTGCAAAACCCTCTCCTGAGCAGACAACAGGGCTCATTTGCACTCGGGGGCTGTGTCTGACCTCGGCAAAGCTACTCCCTGAACCCTGGGCTGAGTGCCATTGGGGAAAACCGGAGGCCACCGCCCCTGCCCTCAGACGGACTCCCACCCCTGCCGCCACAGGAACCGATGCATCTGTGTGAGCCAGGCCCTGCCCCATCCGGCAGAGGCCCCTCTTCGTGCCAAACTCACTGGGGCACTCTGTGCCAGGTGACCCTAACCCGGTGCCAGGTCTCCCCCACAATCCCAAGGCCTGACGTCTTCAGACCTTCTCCTGAGCACTTCCCAGTTCTGCCCTCATCCACAGTAAGTGGGGTTCTTCCCATGGCTCCCCATAAATGTCTCTTTCCATGGTCCGATGCTGTAAAAGTGCTGAGCCCTTCGAAGTGGTTGGAGGATGGAGGGAAGAAGGGGAGGGGAGGAGAGCAGCCCCCAGGCTGGTGACCCTTACCCAGCGGTGTGCATGCAGGTGGTTGCCTGCCCCATGGGGCACACCACTGGGCCTAAGCAGGTTTGGATACTCCTGACCCCAAGGCTCCCCTCGACACCCCGACCCATTGGTGCAGAAGGAACCAAAAACATTTAAGGGAGGGATTTAGTTGAGAGGACCCAGCTTGCCTCCTATACCCCCACTGTACTTCCTGGCCAGTTTGGCTACAGGGGAGACTTTTAAATCCGGGAAAGACTGAGAAGCATGAAAACCAGCCCCACTGGGGCTGAATCTTGTCCCAAAGCCCCTGTGCCCCCAAAGCTGCCTAACTTTGTGCTGCTCTGGGTCAGCAGTGCAGGCTGAGAACAGGCCCGGGGTGTGCCCTCCCGAAAGGTTTTTTTCTTCTCCCTTTTCCTTCTTAGGATTGGGATTTGGATTTGAGTTCTGCTCTCTCAGAGCACCTTGGCATTGGCCAAGTGCCCATGATGGCCTTCATCATAGCTGCCCCGCCCCCTGCCTGGCAAGCACTTGCCCCTGCTCTTGGCATGCAGAGCTGGGGACAAGCAGGCTGGAGGATGGGGGGTCAGCTGCAGGGCAGGCCGAGCAGCCTGGCAGAGCCAGCCCAAGGCAACTCCCACACCCACAGCCTCCTGGTGCCTGCTGACACCCAGCCCTAAAGACACACCACCTAGGCTTCCCCCCTGAGCATGTACCCCAGCCGTGGGCCAGTCACAAGCTCAGAAGTGAGCAGAGGGCACTCTGGCCAGAGGGGATGCTCTTGGCTTGGGGGTTCTGGAGTGCAAGGGCAGCTCAGGGGTGCTGGACACAGCCCGGCCTTCCACACACCCACTGGGTCCTATCACCATGACCTTGATTAGACCTAGGACGCCTGGGTTTTGCACTTAGCTTAATTGTCCAGCTCCAGGTGAGGGCCCTGGCAGGAACCACAGCCGAGTTATTCATCATGCCCAGGGCCTGGGCCTCCTTCCCTGAGCCAGGGCTCCAGTTTATGGGGAAATCGCCTTCACAACTAGTCAATGAAAAGCAAGGGAAGCCCCAGTTTTGCTTGTTTGTTTTTTGTTTTTCTGAAAGGATTCACTTGAGAATATCGCCCCTGCCCCAACCTAGAAACAGCCACTTGGAAGACATGTCTCATGGCATCATGAGAGTTCACCAGCTTTTTAGCTGATGAGACTGAAATTTACATAAAACTGCGCCAGCCTAGCATTTGAACTCTGACCTTTTATTTAAAGTGAACCTGCAACTCCTAAATACAGACCAATCATCAGACTAGTGCAGCTCTGAAGTGAGATGAAAATTTCCTCAAATATCAATAGATATTTTCAGCCGGTTCAGATTGGAGCTCAGTGACATATAGAATCTTCCAGCGTTTTCAGGCGTTCCTAAGCAACTTCTAAAGGAAGTTTTGGAAGAAAGACTAATAGTGTTAAGAATATAGACATATATATATTATATAGTTATATATATTTAAAGAGCTATCTACATATGTACAATTACTATACTCTGCATCTGTACGAAGTATGATTTGAACAGCCCGGGTAGTGTGAGATATGTAATGCATGAATGTAAATACCCTGAAATCTGCCTTCTTAGCCACACGCCGTGTGTGTAGGGGAGACGACTCGTTCCTAGGCGTTCTGTCCCAGTGGACAGATACACACGTCCACGCTGTCTTGTCCACTTACGAGCCGCTCATGTCGATTTCATGCCGAGACTTTTGTACAGGAAGCAGGACCGGCAGCATCAGGGGTGTGCTGTCTGCTGCCTACCAGGAGGGAAGCACCATGACTTTTTTATTTTCAATAAAAATATACTTATAAAGATGGCTATCGGTTGTCATGCGTAAGGGGTGAGGGTGAGCAGGCGTGGTCTGTCAGTGAGGCCCTGCTCTAAACCCAGGGCTGCGCTGGGTACCTCGCATGCGTTATTTCTGTATTGCTGGACCTTAATAGCCCAAGGTTGGTATTTATGGGGATTCCTAAGGCCAGTCCTGTCACCTCCCGCCCACCATCTTGATCCTTGACTTAACTAAGAGTAGAGCGACAACCTTCCCAGTTTGTCTGGGACTGAGAACTTTTCCTGAACTCAGGACTTTCAGGGTTAAAACCAGAAACACTTTGGGGAAACAGAACGAGATGGTCACGCAAATTTGACAAGTGCTCGCGGAATCAAGGAGCGAGAATCAGCTAGCAGCACTGAAGAGGACCTTGGGGGGTAGGGGACCCTGTGGCCAGTGCTGAGCTGCCTTCTATGTCCAGGGCTGAGTCAGACCACAGTACCAGCAGATGGGCCTGCAGCATCTCCCAACTGGACCAGCCACATACAGGACGGTGGTTTGCACTGCAGTGGGGCCCAAAGAGCAGAGGACCTGCTCAGGGTCCCCTGCCTGTCCCTAAAGGGAGGAGAGTACGAGCCACCTGCTGGCCATTCTCCCCTTCTAACTTCAGCGCTGGGTGAACCTCACTGGAAGCGCCATCTTTCTTGAAAGAGAGGTTTTCTCTAATGGCCCAGAGGGACGTGGGAAGAGAGAACTCCTGGCCCTGTAGCTCTGTGACCCCCATTTTAGGAGTGAAGAGACGGGTCAGAGGTCAAACGTGATGGCCAAGACCGTGCAGCAAATGGATGGGACAGGGTTTGAACCCAGGCTGGGTGCCTTCAATGCTAGTTGCCAGTCGGTTGAGGGGGCCCCAACCTAAACAAACCCTTGACTCCATGCCCAGCTGCCAACAGAGGACATGGCAGAGAGCAGCAGTCCTGTGTGTAAGGCTAGTCCACTTGTGCAGGGTACTGGGAACTGGGGTCCACGGCCAGCCCGGGGATAGGGGATCAGTCCAGCACACAGGCACCAGGAGCCATTGGCACAGAGCACAGGGTCAGAGCCCCTAGGTGCCACGTCCATCTCTCTGCCTTGCATCCCTAGGGCCACTGGCCTTTGTTCAGCTCCAACAACCAACACAGCAAACTGCCCTGACCCATGAAAGCGCCATGTCTTGGCCCCGGCAGATGGCCCTGCAGCCTCCCCCAACGGGCCCAGCCACATACAGGACGGTGGTTTGCACTGCAGTGGGGCCCAAAGAGCAGAGGACCTGCTCAGGGTCCCCTGCCTGTCCCTAAAGGGAGGAGAGTACGAGCCACCTGCTGGCCATTCTCCCCTTCTAACTTCAGCGCTGGGTGAACCTCACTGGAAGCGCCATCTTTCTTGAAAGAGAGGTTTTCTCTAATGGCCCGGAGGGACGTGGGAAGAGAGAACTCCTGGCCCTGTAGCTCTGTGACCCCCATTTTAGGAGTGAAGAGACGGGTCAGAGGTCAAACGTGATGGCCAAGACCGTGCAGCAAATGGATGGGACAGGGTTTGAACCCAGGCTGGGTGCCTTCAATGCTAGTTGCCAGTCGGTTGAGGGGGCCCCAACCTAAACAAACCCTTGACTCCATGCCCAGCTGCCAACAGAGGACATGGCAGAGAGCAGCAGTCCTGTGTGTAAGGCTAGTCCACTTGTGCAGGGTACTGGGAACTGGGGTCCACGGCCAGCCCGGGGATAGGGGATCAGTCCAGCACACAGGCACCAGGAGCCATTGGCACAGAGCACAGGGTCAGAGCCCCTAGGTGCCACGTCCATCTCTCTGCCTTGCATCCCTAGGGCCACTGGCCTTTGTTCAGCTCCAACAACCAACACAGCAAACTGCCCTGACCCATGAAAGCGCCATGTCTTGCTCTGGGGTCCTGCTGCTGCCAGCGAGGCCTGAGACACATGCGACCCACAGGCCTCCCTGCCCAGTACCAGTGGCAGAATTCCTGTCTTGGACCTGTGCGGGCCAGCAGGCGGCAATGGGACCACTCTTCTTCCTTCTTCCACCCAGCCATGCGGCATCTCGAAGATGGTCCCGTGAGACCCAGCAAGCCCTTGCACTATATCCCAAAGGACTGCAGGCTGGCCGATGTGGGCCCGCCATGGCCTCGCCTTTGTACACAAGCTTATGACTGCCACCAGGCCACTTCCGCCGCCTCCTCCACCAACCCCACCCTGGCCCTGCCCAGTGCCAGGTGTCTTTCTGCTCCCCTCCCACTTCCAAAATCAGCTCTCAGGAAGTGC